GTTGTCTACATATTATATCTTTCATCTTGTTAATTATTTTGTTGTTATTGTTGTATCTGCTAAATGGCTTCCAAAGTAGTTATCTATATATTGCACTACGTTTTTGTTAATTAATCGTCTATGTACCCCCAGATGTCACGAGAAAACCGGTTGACTTCCAGTCACTTCTCGACCAGCTTCCTCAGGGCGAATTTGTGTTTTGCGGGGATTTCAACGCAAAATACGACCTGTGGGGGTCACCTAGGAATGACTGTCGGGGGATTAGCCTATGCTCAATAATAGAAGAGAACGACCTATGCGTACTGAACGACGAGAGCCCTACTTTTGTTGGAGGAAATGCCCCACCTTCACACCTGGATCTCACGCTTGGTATGGCAAACCGCTGCGACTGGCAAGTACACGAAGATGAAACACTTGGCAGCGACCATCTACAGATAGAACTCTGCATCCAATGTGAAACAACCAGGGAAGTCTATAACGGGAAACCCAATTGGAAAATAAAAGAGGCTGATTGGGCTAACTTCCGTGTAGGCTGCCTTGGGTGGAAAAAAGAAGACATCATCGATGCCAACATCGACGTGTACGCAGCCAACATCACGAGTGCTATTATAGGAGCCGCAGACGACTCCATTCCCAAGACTTCTGGAGGGCAATCAAGGATTAGAAAACCTTGGTGGTCACCAGAACGTCAGAAGGCGGTTAACGAAAGAAAGAAGGCACTACGCCTACGGAAACGCCACTACAATGAAGTCAATCACCAAAACTACCTGAAGTTGAAATACGCCGCAAGAGACACCATCCGGAAGGCACAAAGCGAACACTGGATGACATTCTGTAATGCGTTGAATCAAAACACGCAAAGAGGTGCCGTCTGGAAGAAGCTGAACGCCATGAACGGGAAGCGCAGATCATTCAACATACCAAACCTAAAGAATGGAGATGAGTACGTTACCAACGGCAATGAAAAGGCAGATCTACTTGCAAAAGCTTTCGCTGACGCAAGCAGGGACGAAAACCAATCACCAGAGTTCCTGAAGAGAAAGGAAATCTTTTACTCACAGCACCCTTCATTAGAAATTGAACCTAATGAAGGGGCTAAACCAATCAATCTACCCTTCTCTGAGGAGGAGTTAAATAAGGCTCTTTCCCTCAAGAAGGATAGTGCGGCTGGTGAGGACAAAGTAAAGTACTCGATGCTCAAACATCTGCCTAGAAATGCCAAAAGGATACTACTAAACTTCTTCAACACATCCTGGCTGGCAGGAGAGGTACCCAAAGAATGGCGGAAAGCCAACGTCATTCCTCTTCCAAAACCAGGTAAAGAGAGAACAAAGGCAGAGTCCTATCGACCAGTAAGCTTGACATCCACACTGTGCAAAACCTTGGAAACAATGGTTAACATACGACTACAGTTCTATCTGGAGAGCAACCGACTGATCGACGAAAATCAAAGCGGGTTCAGGAAAGGGCGTTCAACAACGGACCACTTGGTGAGACTACAGCAAGTCATGTCGCAGGCACTCCTCTCTGGGAACCTGTTATGTGTCGTGTTCGTAGATTTAACTAAGGCTTTCGATTTAGTCTGGCTAGACGGACTGCTCTTCAAGTTAGGACGTATTGGTATAACGGGCATAATGTTTCGGTGGATCAAAAGCTTTCTGAGCGATAGAAGGATACAGGTGAATGTAGGCAGATTCCTGAGTGCCGGTCAAACATTAGAAAATGGCACGCCTCAGGGGTCGGTTATCAGTCCCACTCTCTTCAATATCATGATCAACGACATACAGAAATCTTCCTACCTCGACGCCAAAACTGAGTTAGCTAAATTTGCTGATGACAGTACCATATGGAGGAAAGGGAGGAACTTCTGTGAACTACAAAAGAACATGCAGAAGGCCTTAGACAAATTCATGGCATGGGCAAACGATTGGGGATTCAAAGTCTCGGAGAAGAAAACAGTCGGCATGCTTGTAAGCAGGGATAGAGGGATAAACAGAATGACTCTGTGTAGAAACGGGAAAACCATCGAGTTTAAAGACCAAACCAATTTCCTTGGCGTAATCTTTGACCGAAGGCTGACCTGGAAACCGCACATCGACGAGACTGTAGATAGATGCACCAAAATCCTAAACTTAATGAGGAAAATAACGGGCAGCACATGGGGTGCCAATAGAGTTACATTAATGATGGTGTATCGTGCCCTAATACGCTCTGTATTAGACTACGGCTCTTTGGCCTTCATGAACTGTGCGCCAAAACTTTTAAGTAAGCTTGACACCATCCAATACAAAGCTCTGTGTATTGCGACCGGCGTAGGGCTTGGGACTAGGAGAGAGGCATTACTACAGGAAGCCGGGGAGTTGCCCCTATCCCTAAGAAGAAAAGAACTAGCGACAAGGTATTGGGCCAAGATCTCGCAACTGGGCGAAAGATCCCCTACTTTTGTCAGTCTACAAAAGACAAGATATGTAAGAGATCCTAGAAAGAAAAGTTTCGGCCAGGGTATCAGGGAAACAATCAAGGAATTGCAACTGGGGGAGCTCGTGATAAATGAACACGACCCCCCAGCGATTGCCCCTTGGACGCTCCCTATACCGCCGGTTAATCTAGATCTACTACAGAAAATTGACAAGAAAAACAACCCCACTGCTGCACGTGCTTTCACTCTAGAATACCTGGAAGACAACTGGCCGTCTGATGACTGGGACCATGTGTACACGGATGGCTCACGCAATCCTGAAAGGGGCACCAGCTCGTTTGTAATATACCTGTCAAACGGGAAACAGGGAATAAGCAGGAAACTGCCTAATAACTGTTTGGTGTACACTGCAGAGCTTGTGGCCATTCGTGACGCTATATCATGGATTTCCCATCAAAAGACTAGTAAGTTCGTCATTCCAAGCGACTCTCTGAGCAGTCTGATTTAAATCCAAAATGACAACTCGGGCTCAAGACCAGAAGTCATTTTGGAAATCAGGCAGCTGTACCAGAGGGTTTTAGAGAAGGGAAGCAAAGTAGAACTCGTGTGAATTCCATCACATGTCAACATTAGAGGAAACGAGGCGGCAGATTGACTCGCCAATGAAGGTCTCAAGGACACAGCACCACTCCGCGCCATTGACTACAGCACCACGGAAATCTACAATATGGTCAAAAGACATGTCAATGCAATCTGGGAATTAAATCTCATTGAACTTGACACATACAGATTCCGGCTGGATGACAAGATCTACACAAAGACAACACTCAATCACCCTAGAAGAGATATTTGTAGACTTATATCGAAGCTAAGGGTGAAAGAGCAGCTGCGAGACTACAAACACCAAGTCATCATCTGTGAGTGCGGAGAAGAATGTACCACCAACCATGTCCTGGTAGACTGCGAGGTATACGAGGAGGAGAGAAGGGAACTAGTGAGAACAATGGAGACCAACAACATACCATTCAACACTAAGAACCTACTCTTCCCGAGACCAGATCTGAAACTGCAAATCTTCGAACAAATCCACGCCCTAATGGACACAGTTGGACTAAGTAGAATAGTGAAGTAAGAGGGGGTCACGGTTAGACGGGCCCGGCATCTAAACACTAAACTACATAGGGGATTTATACCAAACTGGCAGGATAGTGGAGTAAGGGGGAGTCACGATCAGACGGACTCGGCATCTAAACCCTATTCCACCAAAAACAGACACCAAACCTACAGAATGGGATAGTGGAGTCAGGGGAGGTCATGATAAGACGGGCCTGGCACCTAAACACAAACCCCACAAAGATGACATCTACCAAACTAGCAGGATAGTGGAGTAAGGGGGAGTTACGGTCAGACGAACTCGGCACCTAAACACTATTCCGCAAATAAAACTGATATCAAACCCAGAGAGTGGGATAGTGGAGTAAGGGGAGGCCACGATAAGACGGGCCTCCACCTAAACACTAAAACGATGACATCTACCAATCCAGAAGCAGACGTAATCCTCTACCAAACGATATGTTTTATATTAAATAAAGGGAAGAACTTCCCACTAAACCAAATCCATGGCCTAAGGCCAAATGGAAAGATTGCAAAATCATATTCTAAAAAACAGGAATCAGCTTCGGCTCTCCTATGTCTTGTCTGCGATATCACTTATGTGGAAGCAGACGTTAAACACCAAGAACGAACGAACGTTAATTAATCATTATTTGCTTGATAACGATACCTGTATGAGTATTGAAACGTAGCATGTTAATAAAATTCAGAAGTAGTATATCCATATTAGTGTGTTATTTTTTATTATTAATTTACATGTACATATATTAGCATTATGTCGAACTGATAAAGATGAAGGTTCCATGGGGTAGGCCAGTTATCATTTGTAACACTGTCTAGGTGGAGTTTTGTGAATTTATATCAGTAGTATTATTCCAGACTATATCAGCATAATCAGATATGGAGAGAATAAAAGAATTATACAATAGTCAAAATTTTGAACTTCTGAGACGTCAACTTTGATTGAGGATTTACTAACTAATATTTAAATAGATTTATTAGTTTTGTACTAGTACACGTCTCACACTTTTCCTATTATAGCTTTTCTGACAGTTTTGTAATGCAATCACATTAAAGCTACATGTAGAAGAGAGGAAGACAGATAATACCTTTTTTTATGTTTGCATCTCCTTGAAAGAGTGAAATGTTTTAGGATAAATTTCTTACTGGTTCTATTATACAGATGCTGAATCATTTACCTTTCAAAAGATGCATCACCGACTTTTCTGTGACATGTTGATCAGAAGTCATCTACTGTATCATGATGTATAAGAATTTTGCAAGTTGTATAAGCTTATAGAAAGGTCTGAAACAAATCTTTGGGAAGCTAAATGTAATGCAAGCTGTTTCTGGGATTGAATCTTGCCGCTCAAACACTGTAAACTACAGTATAAGAAAAGGTAATTTGGAATCCTATTTGATGAAAAATAGTGGAGCAATTTATTTGTATTGCAATATTTTATTTCAGAAAAGACTTCAAAAGGAATTGCTGGCACTAACAAAAGATCCCCCTGTTGGTGTTAAAGTCAATACAGATGCTATAACCAAAAATCTAGCCGAGTAAGTTCTCTGCATTGTGTATTTTTAATTAGTAATTTGTTTAATGTGTGCAAGATACTACCAATACTTTAGTTGAATTGAATATGTTGCAATCTCTATACATGTACTTACATGCCATGAATACAATTATCACCATGCAGTCTCACATAATAATATGATGTGAACCATTTTGATATGCCCACATGGAAATGTGGACGTATATTGCCATCGCCCCTGTCCGTTGTCGTCCACAATTTCTTGTTAGCGCTCTAACTCCAAAAGTTATTATCCAATTGTTTTAAAATTGATATGTGGTTTACATTAGTGAGATGAAGTAGCTTATTTAATTTCAATATTTTCCGTTTATTATTATCTATTATGGCCCTTGTTTCACTTTATTGCATATTTTGAACGCTCTAATGCCAAAAGTTATTATCCGATCTTTGTGACATTTATATGCATTATTTATATTAGTGAAATAAAGAAGCCTATTGTATTTCAGCAATTTCCGTTAATTATGTCTAGAGTTATGGCCCTTGTTTCACTTTATTGAACCTTGTGAACGCTCTAACGTCAAAAGTTATCATTCTATCTTTCTGAAATTTATATGCATTATTTAAAATAAAGAAACCACGAAGCCTATTGAATGTCAACAATTTACAATAAATACTTCTAGAAAAAGCCTGACAAATTACAACAATTTCTGTAAACTACTTCCAAAGTTGAGGCCCTTGTTTCAGTTTGTAAAACCTTGTGAACCCTCAAACGACAAAAATTATAATCTGATCTGTATGGAACTATCTTGTAATGGTCCCCAATTACCTACAAAAAAATAAATATGTGACAACCCTTGTTGACCGCTCGGACGATTTAGCTGAATGGGCGTATGGTTCGTTTCCTGGCAACCTATCTTTGAAATTATGATATTATGTTGTATTGATGTTTTGATATGAAATTATGATTAATTGACTTTGTTGATATTATCAAATTATGTTAAATTGATTATGTTAATGTGTTTTTTTTTTTGTTAGATGGACAGTAGATTTAGAAGGGGCACCTGGAACAGTGTTTGAAGGTGAAAATTTTCAACTACAGTTTAAATTTGGTTCTAGATATCCTTTTGATTCTCCACAGGTATAGCATAGTAATTTCACACATTCAGCATTCTTCTAGTTCTAAAGCAGCGTTTACACGATACAACCAATCCATACAACCGTTGGATTCAACATATCGGAAGAGTGTTTACATGATAAATGGTTCTATTCGTTGTATTTTTAATTAAAGCCAAACGCACATGTGTGTGCTGCGTCATTTGTTTGTTCTTGGTAACTGAATATAATGGCGTCGCTTGAAAAAGAATGTTTAACAGTTGTATTAGCTATGTGTATTCTGTGTTCGGCCAAGGAAGAGGCACATCAAAGAAAGAAAAAAACGAATGTGGGCTAGACGTTCCCTTTTGATGCGAAAAAAGGATAGGTGCATGCACGACAGTAGCTAGAGAGCTTATCTACCATGAATCAGAAGGGTACCATAAGTTACTGCAAATGGATGGAGATGCCTTTCAGATGCTGTTGCAGAAAGTTTCCCCTGTTATTTCAAAACAAGACACAGTTCATGTTATTAGACACTCTAATTCCGTGGCAGTTAGGCTAAGGTCCATTTTAGAGGAGGTCAAAGCACTAGAAGTGACAGAAGAAGACATATTTGATAGCAGGAATTCTGGTTGTTAAGGCAGATGTGACGTCATACGGTGACATCATCTAATATAATGCAACTCGATTGGCTATTGCATCAGTTGGTCGGATGAGAATAGAACTGGTTCTATCCATACAACATGCTGTCCATCCGACCATTCGTCTGATGAGTTGGTCGGATGTGACGGTTGTATGGATTGGTTTATCGTGTAAACGCCACTTAACCAAGTCATCTTAAAAGGACATAAAAATGTTGTTTTCTTTGTTTATTTCAATATATAAGCTCATTCATGATCAAGTTATATTCAATTTTTAATGATTTTAAAATTTAAGGAAGTAAATTAGTTCAGTAGTCTCATAGAAAAATGCATTTTTATACGTAGGCCAATATTTATATTAGTTGATTTAAAAGTGTGCGGTGTTAGACCTTGTAGGTGACCTGCTAAAATCACACAAAAGCATGCATTTTGCATTATAACATTTGACATTATTAGGCATTCCAAGATAACATTTTGTGTAAAGCTTTAATTTAGATCTCCATTCTTCTTTTGTTAATTTCTCCATTATTATGTATTCATTAGACGTGTAAGTCGATTCTAGTGACATTATGTCCCTTTAATTTTATTTAAAATGTCAAGTGAAATCTGGGACTGCTTTATAAGTCACATTTAATTTCATAACACATGAATACATTGTTATGCATAAACTCTTTTATGGTTTTTTTTCAGGTGATGTTTATAGGTCCTAATATTCCACTACACCCACACGTGTATAGCAATGGTCACATATGTCTTTCAATATTAACTGATGACTGGTCACCAGCTTTATCAGTACAGTCTGTTTGTCTTAGTGTAGTTAGTATGTTATCTAGTTGTAAAGAAAAGGTAAGAATAATCCATACACAAATACACATTAAATAGCCTCCTCACTTCAGGGCTTGGGCCATTACATTGCCAATGTAATTAATTACATTACCATTACTTTTTAAGCGTAATCATTACAATTACTTTCTCATTTTTAGCAATGTAATTAATTACCATTACCCATTACATTGAAAGTAATTAATTACCATTACCCATTACTTTATGACTATATAAATAAAAAAAACATTTTTCATAGAAATTAAAAAGACAACCTTATTTTTCTGCCATGAAGTACCTACAAAATCAAACTCAAAATAATCCTTGATTCATTTAATAGATATTTGTTTATGAATTATTATTTCTAGCAATTATAACATCAATGCAAATTTTATAGTGACTGGCAGTGGTGACAAAAACTGACATTTTCACTGTATGACTTGAAAAATGAAAGTAATTTTTAAAAAAATTTAATCAGTCCAAATAGTTTCTCTATAAGATATTGTATAATAACTGGTAAATTATTCAGCTTGACTCTAAAACAAAATATATATTAGTTTTAAGTAACCATAAAATGATGAGATACTTGAAGGTCATTGTTTGGTTTGTCACTTGTTACCTTGAGATTTTAAAGTGCAGTTAGACTATTTATTGTCTTTTAATCTAACTGACTAATTGATTGATTAATTGACTGAGTGATTGGCTGCAAATTAGTACTAATCTTTGATTATAATATACATCTTATCAGAAATCCGCTTCTTAGGTTACATGTCTAAAAAAGGTTCCTACATAAAAAGTAATAAAAGAAAATGTTTAATGCCTTCTTATTTTTCTTATAAATTTTTAAAACTGATTTAAATCTTTTTTTTATTTTTAGAATAATAATGAATTGGATTTGTGTCAGATACACTTAATTACTTCTTTGGTGCTATAAAATTTGAGGCTTGTCATATTGGAAATATTTATATATGCCATAAAATGTAATTGAAAAGTAATTGCAATGTAATTGACCATTACATGATTCTTGGAATGTAATTAATTACATTTCCATTACTCATTACTTTTGAAATCTTCCATTACATGGCCATTACTTAAAAAATGTAATGATTACATTCCATTACCATTATCCATTACCCAAGCCCTGCCTCACTTACATTTAAATGTTGTCACCCTCGCCCATGGTCCACAACTGCATGTGGATGCTCCAGAGGTTAAAGTTATCATAGGATTTTTTGGAATTGATTATTAGACTGCACTAAATTTTTACAAGCCTAACAATTTGTCCTTAACATTTTGTCAGCTACATGTATGTGCGCCTACAATCCATAGTTAAGAATTTGATGGGGCCATTATGATATTAATTTGGTATAAATGAATCAAGAGTTTCACAAATTGGGCATTATTTTTTAAAAACTGTCTTTAGTATTGTATTTGAGTTCTGTTTGCATTTGCGACATATTAGTAACAAAATATATAACGTCTGTTCAAATAGATTTGAATAACATGTTTTCATGGATGTGAATAAGACTTCAATAATTTACTTTAAAATTTTGTATTTTATAGAAACGACCTCCAGATAATGCACTTTATGTAAAAACATGTAGTAAAAACCCTAAAAAAACAAGATGGTGGTATCATGGTAAGTCAGTAGTTTCTCTGTAATTGTGTTTTATTACAGTGAGATGTATTCAATGCATTGATTTTTATTTTGGCTTTAATGTGATAAACACACATGGTAAACAAAATAAAAATTTTATAACCTCACTTCTAAATTATGATTCTTGTTATAACTCTCATTATTTGTTGAAATTTAGAATATTTTGGATTCAGCTACCAATAATATTGAATCCAATTGAAATTCAGAGTAGCGCACCAATTTCTTGATGAATTTTTGCCACTTTCACAAAAACCTTTACAATGCTCCATAATTTTAGCATAATAATAACCTATTATAATATTTCACCGTCTTTATTAGCCCTGTTGATTCAGAAAAGTAAATATTAAATCCAGTTCTATTTCATTTTATTTCTACTATTTCAGATGATTCTGTTTGATTAAGAGGTCATTGGTGTAGCCATAAAATCAATTGATGAATAAATATATCGAGACTAATCCTCTCTGAATCATACCATCCATAGCCATTTGGTGTTTATCTCAGAGATTCAAAGTTACTGTGCTTTTGGATTGGATGATATTATAATAAAAATATACTTCTTGTTATACAGACTGACTGCTGTGAACTTCTGCTCCTAAAAGTCATTCATTTTAATACACAAATTAGTTACATATATTGACATTATGAGCTTTGACCACAACAGTAACAGAGTATTAAATTACCCTATTAGTAGTTAGATTACTCTAAGGTAGTTATTCGTACTTGCCAGCCGACCTTGCTATATGGTTAATTTTATGTACAGCCATTGAAGTTGTTTGTCAAATTTTCAACAGTGAATAATCTATAATTACGTTTTCATTCAGGTACTTCCTTTGTAGACAGGTATTTTGAAATTATCCACTTCCTAGAAATAAATTTCAACATAAATGTTAGTGCTAAACTCATTCGTGCAGTTAAAATATTTTGTTTAAATATGGTGATATGGATTTTAATACATTATTTGTTATTGGTGAACATAGTCATGCAAAGAGAATATGGCTGTTATCCACTGCTGGATAGCTGCTGACTATCATGGTTCATACTTCATAGTATTTAATGGGCCATCAGTTTCACAAGCAGTCATGCTATATAGAGCAGATTGCTTGTTAAAGGTATTATGTATGATAACAGTAACACACTTTAATTTGAGTTAAGTTTATCTTTTGATCATATATTGTATGGAAAGCTATTTGTTATATGTGAGAATTTAGAGACAAAGTAATAGCATGAAATAAAAATTTATTTCTACATTAGTTACATGCGAGTCTTAAATTATAAAGTGATTACTGTAGTCTTTTGAACATTCCATGAGTTAATTAATTAAGAATGTATGGCGAATAAATATCTCAAATAGTTGACCAATTGCTTTGTTACTAGTTGTTTGTAATTATTATATTTCTTGTTATGCAATTTAAATGCACAGCATAAACATTAAGCAACTTTGTAATCTTATAATTCATTAAATTATAGTGATTGTTTTTTAAACGCCCACATGTAAATGTGGTCGTATATTGCCGTCGCCCCAGTCCATCTGTCTGTTCGCCCATCATCCACAATTTCTTGTGAACACTACAGATTACATTTATCATCTGCTTGTTTTGAAATTGATATATGTTGTTTACATTGGTGAGATGAAGAGCCTATTTAATTTCAATAATTTCTGTTAATTTCTTCTGATGTTATGGCCCTTGTTTTGCTCTGTTGCACCTTGTGATCACTCTTAACGACACAAGTTACCATCCGATCTGTATGCATCATTTAAATAAGTGAAACGATGAAGCCTATTGAATTTCCATTAATTATGTCTAGAGTTACCATCCAATCTGTATGGTATGCATTATTTAAATTAGTAAAACAAAAAAATCTGTCGAATTTCAAAAATTTGTGTTAATTACTTTCAGCTTGTAGAACCTTGTAAACCTTCAAACGTCGAAAATTGTAATGTGATCTGTATGAAATTGTCTTGTAAATGCCCTCCTTAACCTACAACCATTGTCAACCACTCGGACCATTTAACTGCTGTGGGCATATGGTTTGTTGCCTGGCAACCTATTGTTTTTTTAGAAGTACAACTTTGATTACTAGATGTGATTGATATAAAGTTTGTTTGATTTTATTCTGTATTGTCTTCTTATTAAATCTGGTGCTTTATTCATATGTATCTATATAAGTATTTATATAAATCTATAAAATTTACAATCATTAAAAGCTAATTTGTTTATTTTATTTTTAAAATAACACTCACTCAAAATTTTAATGAACTATTTAGTATTAAGTAAAAAATGTGTATGTATCATGCACATGTTATTCGTCAACTCTCTTTTGACATTTTTTTTCACTAACTCGTTTGTTGTTTGTTAAATTGTTCATCCTACATCGTTTTTTTTTCTTCTTTTAAAAATAAGAAAAACATGTAACTAGGTGATATTGTAATATATAAAGATTAATGACAGGCTGTGAGAGAGAAAAAAATAAATGTGTTATGATGTATGTTATTTTGTTAATGAATAATTTATTGTTTCAGTGCTATATACAAAGCTTTATATAGTGTATTATAGTGAGTACTTTATTTTGTTTTTAACCTGTTATTACAGGTACACAGTCTTATCATGTTGTACCATCTATAGTTTTGGTTTTTCAGTCAAGTCAGTAGACTTATGCCTATTTGATTTGATTTTGATACTTCAAATACATCTGTATGATTTGATGTTTTCATTACTAAAAAACAATCAATATGTGGTCTGTGTTATTTGTGCCCTTTTCAAAAAATAGTCAATGAACCTCTAATATAAGAAATATGCATTTGGACTGTCTTTAATCAAGATCCTGATTGATTTAAGGCATACAAAATGTTTATTATGCTTGCCTATAGAACAAAAATTGTTAAAACTTGCTTTGATCATTTGTCTTTGTTTCTATTGGAACCCTATCAAAATTAGAGGGTTTTTTTTTATGAATTTCTTGTCATTTATGCCCCTCACAGAAAACCCCTATAAAAATAGTTTAAAGATACATTATGGGAGATAAGATAAAGAGCTGGCAGTTCTCACTATAATAGTTAAAAAATAGATAACGTAAAGGCAATTTCCTGAAAATTTCAGTCAAATTGATCCACTATAAACCGAGAATTAAGCGATCATCATGACTAAAGTCTGTACGATAAAAAACATAGCCTCGATCATCCATTTCATGATTGGGGGGTTGGATGGCTGAATGGTTAGCGTGCGCGCGCTGTATCATAAAGTCTGTCATTGAGTCGACTGGCGTGGTTTCGAATCCCCGGTTGTACGTGACAAGGAGTAGGGTCGCCTGTCCAACCTCGTGGGTTTTCTCCGGGTCCTCCGGTTTCCTCCCACTGCTAAAGAGCCCTACGCGCAAGCGAATTATGTAAATAAAATTAAACCATGTTAGTCCCGAAATGACCTAGTTTGTGTCGAGTGGACGTTAAACCCCATTTCTCTCTCTCTCTCTCTCCATTTCATGATTAAATTATGAATGGAAGTCGAGCAGCAAATGGGATCATAATCCAGTAAATATCACAGGCTAGCGATGCCATCGAGAGTTGATAATGGTCTGGATAATTAATAATTTAAATAACATTTCAGGCCTAAAGAAAGACCTGCAATCAGCAGATTTAGCCCTTGCATAATGTATGTTTAACTTAAAAATTCTATACATTATTTTGTTTTCAGTTATATTAATTTGTGTCTGCCATCAGTTTTCTAATATGATAGATGTAACTACGAATTTAGGTTTGTTAAGAATAATACACAGCATAATTTTTCTTTAGAAATCATATAAAATGTAGTTGTATACTATAGGTATATCTAGTCAAGGTTTTTGTCTCTATTGTGCCTTTATATATACCGGTATGTATATCAGATAGAGCAATACACTCCTTTAGTTTCTGTGATATACAAATTCACAAATCTGAATTTAAGCGGAAATTGCAAATTTTCTAAGAAAGTCAAAACGTAATTATTTCTATGTCTTTTGCTCAATAGGTTGTCAACTCACAATTATACGATCATAGGTGTCATTCTCACACTTAAGATTCATTTAGACAGGAAATAATAACACAATTACCTCCTTTGTTTTCTATTCTCCACCATGGAGTAGCGATAATCAAACGTTTGAAAATGAAAAGGAAAATGATATTTTTGCCAATTTCTCAGCTGGCAATAGTGAATTATAGGATTATTCTTTAACAAGGTAGGACTGTTTAGGGATAACATCTATTTTCAGGCTTTTATTTTAATAAATTTTAAAAATATAACTTAAAAATTTGCAATTTCCGCTTTAAAATGTCTTATCTAGGCAGAGAGGTATGAAGTATTTTATGGTAGCTATCTGCAGTCGTGGGGATACAAATGACAATAATTATCGGCTTTAAATATTAAATTTGCAAATATTTTAGCAATGTTTAAGCCGTAAAAAAAAGATATTTTCCAAAAAATGTGAATGACAAACAGTGACTTAATTAAATGTTCAATAATAAATTTGAACATTAATTTAGCATTAAGCTGTGAAAAATAAGATATTTTTCTGAAAAATGCAAATTTGAATCAAAATTGGAATGAAACTAACCTCAAAAAATAAAATATTATCATTATAGTTTAGTTAATTTAAATCCATGGCTGCTTATTTGTCAACAATTATACAGAGATGCAATGAAAATGCACTGCTAATAAGGCTGGAAGTGTAGCTTAAATTTGATTTTTGGCATGATTGTCAACAGTGAAATGTAGGCATACAGGGTAAAAATCAAATATACACCATGCAACATTGTCGCACAGAAGATATAAGCATCTGAATGACTGCTTATAGAAGCCTTCTCCATTCTCACTACAATGTTGCTTCCAGTCGTTCTGGTACTCGTACTCTCTTGAATTAACGCAATGTTGTATTCTTGATGTCAATCTTTCACAGAACTGTTGGAGTTGGGAATTTTCAACAATCTCACTGTTTTGAATTTCAATTTTTTGTTTGAGAGAATTGATCTGTTTTTTTTTTTAACCGTATTAACAATCACCCCCTACAGTGCCGTGTTTTCATTGTGTCTCAGTTTTTTATCCATATCTAAATCTTATTAAAATTAGATCTTTTCATTTTTGGCACTCCAAACATTACCGTAATTCAATAAGCAGTAAAATATGAGACATTAAAATACAGATGTGACGTCATCCTTTGATGTTGGAGTACCATTATTTCAAATAATCGTACGGGCAATGTGCCAAGCGTAACTTGGTAAAAATATTGAACTCGAGTGACGTATTTTATTGCAAAGCACGAGCAAGTGTCTGTATTTTAAGTTGTTTAATGGTCTCGAGCTTAAGACATTGCGTAATATATTGTAAAAACATTCGGGCCTCATGGCCCTCATGTTGTTACAATATATTACTTAATGTCTCGCTCTCGACCATTAAACAATACAGAAAATCAAATTTTAATTAGATCAGTGATACCGCTTTAATTAAAGGAGCAGTCACAGATAAATTTTAGTAAATAAAACTAATTAATTCAGGGCGAATGATTCTTAGAAGTGTGTAACAACCTTAAAGATATTTTTAAGAAATAAGGTCAGTTATATTAGGATAGACCACAAGTTTCCGAACTAATGACTGTGGTAGTGTTTGGATAACTGTCTATAAAAGCTTTTCATGTCACTTATTACACATAATAATTCTTTCTTTGAGTTAATTGAGCAATTTTGTCTGATTACTGAGCAGCTAAACTTTTTAGAGACCTTAACCTGGCTATGTATTCCAATTTTGGCATTCGATTTTATACTTACATTTTTACCAACACATCGGCAAAACTATATACCGGAAAACAACCGAAAAACACCATTTTATACTGAATACCGGAAAACACCCTAAATAGGTAACCCGGAGACTAGCACCCTAAATATGTAACCGGGAGCCTGGTCTTCTGTGTGCCTGGGTTAGGGCTAGTTTCCGGTTTATAGTATAGCTCTTCTCCGGGTTACCTATTTAGGGTGGTTTCTGGTATTTAGTGTGTTTTCCGGTATATTCAGTATAGCATGGTGTTTTCCAGTATATAGTATAGCCCCAACACATACGTGGACTGCTCCCTTAAATTACAAGCTTGCCTTTTGTAATCTGCTTTTAAAATAGATGTAATTAAGCTTACAGAGTACTTGTAGTTTTGTTTAATTTGTATATATATCAATAAGCAACTTATTATCTATGTAAATATTAAATAAATTACCTAAACCATCTTGGAATTTTTGTAATTGAACATTTAGTCATTGATAAAAGAACTCTTGGCAGTTGGAACTTGATACAGAGTAAGTGGAGACACTACTCTGCCTGTAAAAATCTCCTAGAGAAATATCAATTGTATGTTATTCTCAAATAACCCAAGTGTGGATACCTTAAACTCCATTCCTTTACAATAAGAGAACCGCAGTGGACTAGGGAGTAAGAAGATACTGGCTTGATAACCAAGGTTTTAGGTTCACTCCTGGATTTTTTCGGTGTTGTTTCCCCTCGTCAGTGGTGCAGAACAGAGGGCCTGACAAGGACAGTGTGTAGTCATTTGGATGATGCGGAAAACCAAGGTCTTGTGTACACATTGGCGTGCATGTAAAACACTTGACAGTTGGAATTCCAAATAAGAGTAGGCCATAGTTCCACTGTCCAGCCAAATTTTTCCTCGTAACACACTGTATGGCATAAGCCTGTCTTCATGAGCCCAGTCAGAGCAGAAAAGGAGAACCTTAATATCACAGGCATATTTGAAATAAATCTACGTACTCGGGTCACTAAGGGGCGTTCTGAAGCCAGAAGCCAGGTGATTTTTTGTTCTGAAGGGCACTTTTAAAGTTTGCCTTAGCAACGTAAACATATGTAGCGAAGTTTAACTTTGTCCGCAAAAATTTGAATTAAATCGACTTTTTCTGCGATTTTGGGGACGTACAGCCCCTAAACCCAGGGGATATGCAACTTAAGAATTCCCATTCTGAATATCAGCCATCATGGTGCCTCTGTTAGGTATAATGCCAATTTTGTCCGCGATTTTAGGAATAACAGTCAGCTAGCTCCCCTACTAAGATCAAGGGCCATAACTCTGGCATTAATTATTGGAAATCGGTGAAAATCAATAGCCTTCTTCATCCCATGACCTTAAACACAAGCAATTGTGGACGACGGACCAACTGACAGGGGCGATGACAAAATAGGACCACATTTCAATGTGGGCGTATAAAAACTGATCTACTACCAATACCATAGTGATATAAGTATAAAGGTTATACTATAACCTTAGTATTTATTTTCATATGAACTTAGTATGATTATATAATGACAGTGAATGATACTAAAGGGTTTCCATCTTAAAGAGATACAAAGATAGGTTGCCAGGCAACGAAACATACGCCCCAACAGCTGAATCGTCCAGGCAGTCAACAAGAGTTGTCGCATATTTTTACTTTTTCAGTAGTAATGAAACATTTATAATACACTAAAATCTGATTAAGAGTAACAACTCATTAAGTAATTATCAGAAAATCATTACAATTTTTTCAGTTTTTATAAATTTCTGCCCCATGCTAACGTTTAGTATACGAAATATTTAATATCATGGATTTAGCTGTTCAATTATCAAAATTCATTGAAAATGAATATACTTGTTTGTTTCAAGACCTTAAACTCTGTGTATCAATCTGAAGTCAATCGGATGATAACATAAACCTCTAGAGAAGTGATTCATAACCAGTGTGCCACAAGATCTTCCTAAGTGTGCCGCGAAATTTTGAACAGCACACTAAAAAAATTTCTTAATAAAGAAGCCAGTTATGTGACTGATGAAATTCGAACACTGCAATAAATTAAGTTCATAGCTGTGTTTTTCTTTATTTAGTTTAAGTCATTCTATGTGTCTATGACTAGTCTGTGTCTACAGTTGTATGCCGTCTATGACTTGCCATGTTTTTATTTTGCAAATACTTTTCATATATATATTTAGCCAGGTGTGCTGCTATGTTTTCATGTGTTCCAAGGTGTGCCATTGGCAAAAAAAAGTTGAGAACCACTACTCTAGAGCGTCACAAGATTTTTCAAAGTGATCAAGGGCCATAACTTTGGCAGTAATTATTGAAAATCAAACACTGCATATAAATTTAAAGTCTGGCAGTAATTATCGGAAATCGCTGGAAATCAATAGGCTCTTCGACTCATGAACTTAAACAGTGTGTATAAATTTAAAGTCAATCGGATATTATCTTTCGCCTCTAAAGCATCCACAAGATATTTTGAAGTGATCAAAGGCCATAACTCAGGCAGTAATTATCTGAAATTGCTGAAAATCAATAGGATTCTTCATCTCATGACCTTAAACGCTGTGTATTAATAATTTAAAGTCAATCGGATATTAACTTTGGCCTCTAGAGCGTCCACAAGATTTTTTGAAGTGATCAAGGACCATAACTCTGGCAGTAATTATCTGAAATCGGTGAAAATCAATAGGCTTCTTCATTTCATGACCTTAAACACTGTATAAATTTAAAGTCAATCGGATATTAACTTTGGCCTCTAGAGCGTCCACAAGATTTTTTGTAGTGATCAAGGGAAATAACTCTGGCAGTAATTATCTGAAATCGGTGAAAATCAATAGGCTTCTTCATCTCATGACCTTAAACACTTTGTATAAATTTAAAGTCAATCGGATATTAACTTTAGTCTCTAGAGTGTCAACAAGATTTTTTGAAGTGATCAAGGGCCATAACTCTAGCAGTAAATATTGGAAATTGCTGAAAATCAATAGGCTTCTTCGTCACATGACCTTAAACGCTGTGTATAAATTTAAAGTCAATCGGATATTAACTTTAGCCTCTAGAGCGTCCACAAGCAATTGTGGACGCCGGACCGAGAGGGGCGTAAATAAATATATGACCATATTTCAATGTGGGCGTATAAAAATCACATAGATTAAAACATTTAGAAAGGGAAATCAACATATAACATGAAAGACAGATGAAACAGAAATGAAATAGCCGAGTATCAAGGCTTCCATTCAATAAGTGTACATTATTGCATGCTTACGAAATACATGTATATTCAAACCCCTAATTAACAATGAATATTAGACAGAAAAGCTTACATAAACAAACTAATCTAGTATAAGATAAAAAAAATATCACTGAATAATACATATAAGACTGTACACCATATACCATAGATATTGCCATTTAACAGTTTCTTGATTAATCATAGGGTGGACTGATGGATTGGATATATTGGTGGTCTTTTGACGTCCTGGCCTTTACATTGAAAATAATACAATAGTTAATGCTTCAATATTGAAAAATATCTTATATTTACAAGAAAATTATATACATATTTATAGCACTTGAAATAACTGTTAACTTCTAATTTTATAATGCAATTGAAATAGATATTTATACATATGAAACAGATGATGGACATTGACGTTTCTAAATTCCTTTACAAAAAAGTTTAATTTACAAATCTATATTACAAAACGATGATATGAATTGGAAGGCTAGGAAGTTTTGGTACACTTGAAAATAAAAGATGTGAAACGTCTCTAGGGTGTAAAACTCATCAGACTATCCAAGTCAGATGTTACATTTTCTTTATCCATAATTTCTGGTGTAAATAATAAACTTGGTCTCTGAAAAATATATTAAACATATTAAAGTCTTGATGTGATTCAAATTCCTTTCCTGTCAATAACATTTCTCTACTGTTCAAAGTCGTATTTGAATTCTATTCAGTTTGTTGAAATAACCGATACATACGTACATCTAACATGACAGTCTGTTTCTAGATTAAATGTATCAAAAGATCGTAAAAATACTGTTCATTTGTTGCATGGTCCAACAGATTCTACATGACAACGTCTATTTTTGCACCAATTTGGATAGCCTGGTTTATCACACAATTAGTTTTTCTGCAATATTCTGCTATCCTCGATTTAATAACTCATAATGAATTTCGTATGTTGTGATGTAATGTTACGTAGCCGTAATTCTCATTATACACTTTTACATTAACATAATTAGAGTTCTGGTAAATGTAAATCCTGATCGATTTGTTACACTGTAATGGAGACTGGTTGTTAATAACTTAACTGTTTACATGTCATAATTTGGGAAAGTAATCATCAGTCAGTTCAACAGTGTTTGAGTGGGATTAAGTATAATCAAACAAAACACTGCAAGGGGTATGTCTGACCATTCACTTATTTAGTCACTTTTAGTTTCAGCCAATTACAGTGTTTGATATCGAAACAGTGCTCCGGTGCAGAGAACGGACGAAGAATGGGTTCTTGTCGGTTTCAAACAGCCTGGAATGCATTCGCAAACACATTCCCGTTCTCAATTCTTACACTATCTCGTTAGCTGGTGTGAGGCGAGAACAAACATGGTCGACGCGTCGACAACTGCTGAGAAAACAGCATCATGAGTGCATTTATTAATTTAAAAGTTTAATACCGTTCGAAAATTGCATGTAGTATATGGCCGGTATAACATCAAGTAAGATAGGTTGCCAGGCAACGAAACATACGCACACAGCAGTTAAATCATCCGAAGGGTCGACAAGGGTTGTCACATATTCATTCTTTTGTAGGTAATAGGGGCATTTACAAGACAATTTCATCCAGATCAGATTATAATTTTCGTCGTTTGTGGGTTTATGAAGGTTCTACAAACTGAAACAAGGGCCTTAATTGTTGAAATTTGACAGATTTTTTTGTTTTACTAATTTAAATAATGCATACAAATTTCATACAGATCCGATGATAATTTTGTTGTTCACGCATTCACAAGGTGCAACAAAGTTAAACAAGGGCCATAACCCTAGACATAATTCACAGAAATTGCAAAAATTTAATAGGCAACTTCGTTTCACTAATTTAAATGATGCAAATGAATTTCATACAGATCGGATGACAACGTTTGTCACTATAGTGTTCACAAGGTGCAACAAAGTGAAACAAGGGCCATAACTCCAGAAGAAACTAACGGAAATTATTGAAATTAAATAGCCTTCTTCATCTCACTAAAACAAACAACATATATCAATTTCAAAACAATAAGATGATAAATGTTGTCTGTAAAGTGTTCACAAGAAACTGTGGACGACGACACTATGCGATCCCATTTCCATGTGAGCATATCAAAAGGCGATGTAATCATCACTGAAAGAATTGAAAAGGAGCAAAACGGAGTCATTTATCAAAATTATGCTCAATAGCGATGTCAGTACTAATCAATTAAGTTATCATAAACTAATAGATTGAATAAATTAGTTAAATTTAATTCATCTTGTCACCATGGATACAGTTCTCTCATATTCGACTCGTGAAAGTGTTCTCATGTTCTTTCGTCGTTCACGTTCGAATACACCCTAGATCTCTCAGAGACAGAATGGGTAAGCGTTCAATTGTAAACATGAATATTATAAACCTTACCGATATAATGGCTTGATGACCAGGTGTTTGTTGTTTTTCTGGAGGAGTAAATAACAGATCATCTCCGCCAATACGAGATTGTGGTACTGAAATAAATTGTCATAAAAACTTTAACAATACCTGTATTAAATAGATAAATGGCAACTTGTTCCTTTTTAAGCACTTTAAATCATTTAAATTGGTTTGTCTACACTATCAAACTATGTTCCATCCCTATCAGTTTTCTGTTCTGTTTGAAGCCTGGATTGACAAAACCATTCTTGAGACAGGTTTAATTGAACACAAACACTTTGCCCTTTTCAACCGTTGTCAAAAAATATATTCCTTACATGTATGTTAAACACTCTACATTATTAATCTAATTTTATTCACCTAAAGAAACTCTATTATATGGAGTATGAGGAAGACGATCACTGGTATTAAGCTGTTTTGGAGATTTATCAAAATGAACACTTCTTCTTGTTGATCGCCGTCTTCTCTCATCCGAAGGTCGACGTTTTAAAGATCTTCTCTTTGAAGCTGATTCTGAAATTAAAATAAAGACTATTTACAATAACTGTTGAATAATTATTGAATTTACTTTATTTGATTTCTGATTACTAGACATCTTCAATCTCTTGACCAGTTTCTACTGTAACATTTGGTGCAAGAAACGTGCAGTAGTTTGCATGTAGAACTCTCTTTCTCTGTTTATGAATATGACTGGACTCCTTACTGTTCTGTTATAAAAAAGGCTATAATGTGGTATTTGATTCAAAATTTGTTTCTGAAATGGTTTTCCACAAATTCTATCCATTTTCCCATAGAAAATCATTGAATAAACATTATATTATGCCTTCCTGAGTCATTTAACAAAAGGTAAATATTTTATATCCAGCTTCACATATTACTATTCAGATATTTGATTGCATCGTGTATCATGGATTTAAAGTATATCACTGTTTATCAATGAATCCTTGTAACCCTATTTATTGTACAGGATTTTATCAATAAAGACTGTGCACAGAACTTCTCGGTAGTGACAATCTGTTGGACAAAACTTCATACAGATATAACATCAGCGATTGTATTTTGTGCACACCATATCGACGTAATGTTTAACGATGATGTTTAAGTGTACAGTCATCTAATAACTGGTTTACACAAAGCTTGATATAGTGGCCTCTATCAAAGGATTAAACAGAGGTTATTGAAATTGTGTATTTGGACATTGATTTAGCATGTGGGAGAACCTCGGCCATTAGCATATAACAAAATTAATGTTGGGGATAACATCCCAAGCTGTATATTTTCTGCATACTATTTATTATTTATCGGAGATGATAATTAAACTGTCATCTAATAATCCTAGACCATAAAAGAAAAATACACATACAATTTTTAAGATATTTCAGGACCATTTCTATCGAATTAAAAAACAGTTCCTATTTCGTTTTGTTTTTTATAGTTCAAAATTTCGTTTTATTCGTCTGTACTACACTAGGATCTAGAAGAGTTGTTATATAACCTGCATTCTGGATGGCGTGAGGGATTAGCCAATGAAACCATTTGTTGCAGCGACTTCTTGGTGTGCGATGCACGTTAATGGGTAAACCACTAAAAACGTCAACGCTGATTGATTAATCAATATCTGACGTCATAGGGTCAAAAGATCTCTGACGAGACCTTTTACTGCAACCAGTCAGATCTTCGTGTAGTGTAGGCCATCGAAAGTATAAAAAAAAAAAGAAACGAAATATAGATCTGTATTTTAATCGGATTGGGACCATTTTTTTTTTCCACGTTAATAATTTTACCAAAAGATAAATATATGGATGTGAAGTATGCTACCTTTTGTGCTAGATTTGGAAGCTGATTGGGATTCAATGAAACAATGCATGTTAAATGGTGAATCATTGAGACTGTCTTTATCATCTGATGATTCCTCTTTATGTGGTGTGTCTTGTTTTGTTGTTGGTTGAAAGAACGATGATAGGTCATCCCATTCTGGTATAGCTTCTTGTTTACTTGGTGTTTCAGAAAAACATACTGATTTTCTTAAACGTAAACTTCTCCTTTTATAAAAAAAAAAGATTTACATAATCAAAGAATTTACAATGTTCGAACCGTGCTTGTAATTCTGCATAATCAAACCCCCCAAAATGTTCCCTTATTAGTCATATTGGAAGTAGAAGGCCAACCTCAGGTTTTTTATATTCTATTTATTATCTAGTATTAAAATAGTTTTAACCAGGCTGTGACTTCCATCTCCCTGAAGTACAAATCTGTGGTGTAAGGGTAACTATCATTCAATATGAACAAAGCAGTGCATGTGCTATGATCGGTTTCGATCTAAAAAGTATCTTAATGTTTTCTATTTTCTTTTTAGCACAGACCCTTGTCTGATTTTTTAAAAATGAAAACATTATAGAGTCTTCTGGGAAAGCAAATAGAATTCCGAGCATTAAAACACAATCATAAAATTTGGATGGAACCAAAACTGATTGTTCATTACCTTTTTGGGGTTGCTTCCTCCTTCAATTTAGGTGTTGATTTTGAAATTTTCCTACTAGATTTAGGTGTGCTACTTTCTACAGTAATAGCTACCGGCGTTGTTATTTCTTCTACTATACTCTTATTCAGTGTCTTTCTTCTTGGTTTTGGAGTGACGCTTAATGGACAGACATCTACTTCTGACAATAATCTTTTTGGTGTATTGACAGCTAAACTGCGTCTAGTTTTGGGTTTAGGAGTTATATCGTGTAAGAGGGGACTGGGAACTATTGGGGCGTAACTTCTTCTTCTAGGTGTTCTAGCATCGTTTGGTGAAAGAGGTTCTAATGGTTGTCGTTTAGGACTAGAGTTATCTTGTTCCTTCTCTGCGTCTGTATCCATTTTCTCTTCTTCAACTTTTGTATCGTTATCTATCTTTTTACTATCATCTGCTGATGTATTGACTACGGGTTCCACTTTCGATTTTCTTGGCGTACCTGCTGAAATACAGTTCAGAATATATGACAAATTAGAGATCACTGCAATAATAAGGTTTTTTTGGATCAAATCTTCATTGTTACCCACATAGTACCCACATACAAAACTGGGTATATAAATTGGAAAATTTGCATAGATAACAGACTTTTTATGATCTACAGCACACACATAAGACTGCCCCGACATAACTCCTGGCTATGTATATCAATGCCGTCCTTTGACATCAAATAATATGGAACAAGTGAACTTAATCATCCAGTCAAGCGATGACAGTTACCTGTTGTGGTCCATAGGTAGAAACCATTCATTATACAGATCATGATAAAGGAGCAACATGTACATGAGTACAGGGCTAATCCAGTACTTAATGTTATCTACCCTTCCAAAAATAACATCTAGACCGAGACAGTGTTCTGTATATATTGTGGGAGTAACTTTCTATAATGAAATGTGAGTAAACAGTAATACCTTCACAGTGAAAATGAGGTGATAATTTGACAGGACTGTTAACTTTGAAAAAACCAGCATCAAATGTCTTCACGTCTGCTACTTGTGGACTGCTACTTATAGATTCTTCTTCTTTCTGTTTTAACATTTGAGCTCGGAAAGCAGCAAACTTAGATTTAGCAGCTGGTTTTATACACTTTGTTGTCTTTTTCTACGCAAAAAATTCAATAACATTAAATTTCTCCTGTGCATAACTACTGAATACATAATAATATAATGTTAATGACTATCATATTTAATTATAAAATAAAGATGTGGTAATCAGATCGTTATTATCATTAATTTGGTCCCAAAAGAAAACCTTAACTAATTGTCTTATAACAAGCCAACAGTGAGGTTGATGTCCCTTGCCTCAATCCCAAAATAAATTTAGCTCTTTATAGAGCATTAAACTATCAAACTGTTAATAACTCTACTTAACCTGTGCAGAATATGCTTATTATCAAACTTAGTCAAGATATCAATGTAATGAAATTATACACAATAATTCATGACGCTCCCTTAATTAGAATCGCATTCCAAAGCATCAAGTAATCATATATTATGATGTGTAGTGTTGAAACTCTTGGCAAATTTTAGTATCATATTCAGACTATTCGTGTGTATTTTAAAACTTAGTTTGACATTTTAAGTGCATTCAAATTCGTCTATTGTAAGGAGGTTAATAAACCATAAGATATTTATTCAAATAGATGATTTGAATTATCAGACATCCGTTTTAATATATTGTCATTGTCACTAATAAGCTCAATGCAGGACGTATCAAATGATCACTCCATCGTCTTGAAAAATAAATATGGCCGCATGCGGAGATGGAGAAGGCTTCGCCAAACTATTATACCCAAAACAGTTTTATTAATATTGACTAAATTACAAGAAAAATCTTTTCATAACTTTATTTATCTGAAACAATTTATTTGAAATGATCAATCCTTTTATATTTCGATAAAAACAACCAGTGACCATCTCAGAAAATGCCAACATTGCAAAAAATGGGTCGGCTCAAAATAAACAATCTGTTGAGAGGAAAACTTTACCACCAAAAGTTTTATAAGCTTATTACAAACCCTAATAAATGTCACCATATGAAGAAAACACATCTTTTACATTAACTTTACATGTGTCTGGTTGTTTTTCATAGAAATTCTATACAAAACTAGTTGTATTTGCTGCCATGTTGAGGAATTTAGCAGATGAAATAACCAAAATATTGTATACCATTTGACTTTGAGTGAATGTGCAGAATTGATAGAGCTCTAATCATTGGTAAAGTGCACAGATAGGAGCTCGCCATGGGCCATGGCATTTGTCTAATATTAGAACTGTGTTACTTACGACTATATAAAAGTAATAAAACAGTTGAATGGTGTAGAAAGACTAAAAGATTGCTCATTGAACCGTATATATGCGAGATTGCATCTGTGAACGGATATAAGTTTCAACAACCTTTACCTTAATTGTCTTTTTAACCATTGGT